CTATGTTTTCTGGATTACTGGAGTTGTGCCTTGTACGAGTGAACCTGCAAGCTTGGTATTCAAGCAACCTTGTTCTTTTTATCTTGACCAATAAGAAAGAGCTTAGTTAATTACTCTGTTCTTATTAGGGCAATCCAGTTTATAATTTCGTGAGCCACAAGTTTTGGCTGTGTGATTTTAGCCATTGGTGGTGGTGTGAATAAAAGCTAGAGTAACCACCAAATGCCATCTCTTTATGACTTCAAAAGCAACTCAAGTCTTTGATTTTGTTAATTTCATATTTTGTTTCAAATCGGAGACATGTGACTCAATAATTGGCAAGAACAAATCACGAAAAGAAGGAATGAGATATTTTTTATTACTTGAGAAATACAAAGATGACACTAAGATATTACTCCATTAGAAGCTAACTTTATGCTAATTAATATCGTAGTCAAAAAGTGGATTTTTGGTGTTGCGTCGATCGAAGTAGGTGCTATGCGTCGATCGACACAGTGTCGGCAGGTTCTGGTGTTGCGCCGATCGACGCAGGTGCTATGCGTCGATCGATGCAGGTGTCGGCAGGTTTGGCTATTTAAGTCGAACAACAGGTTTTTGGGGGAGAAAACGTGGATTGAGAGGAATCGAAGGATTGTTATCGATTTCTTCGTGTTCTTGATCCTAAAGGCTGGTTCTGGTGATTTGTGAGGCTGTTAGAACGTGTGAGGATTGTTTCTGGCGGCTGGGATTCACAAGTTAGGGAAGGACTTTCGGATTTGGAGATCCGTTCTTCGTGTTCATCGTGTTCTTCGTCAATTTCATAGCTTTTTCTATCTGAAATCGAGGTGAGTGCGTGACCATGGCTTATCTGGGTAAAGGAATTGATAGGATGCGATTGATTGTTGTTTGTGGTTGGATTTCATGTTGTATTGGTGGGTTTTGTGCCGGAGATCGATGGAAACGAGTTTCGGAATTGATCCATGAGAGGATGGGTTCAATTCTGGTTTCTGCGTTTTGTGCGTCGATCGACGCAAGTGCAATTAGGTTGAGCCTAGTAAAACTCGGGGATCAGGTGTGATCACGAGTGGTGCTGGCTGAGGGCCAGGGTTGTGTTGTGGACGTCGAGTCTGGGGTTATTGTTGGAGTCTGGAATTCGGTTCGGACAATCCTGGTAGCATATGTTACGCCGATGGTCGTACATGTTCTTGTTTGATTGTTGTACGATCATTTGGTCCAATGCGGGGTCAACGGTTGGTCGGACATGTTCTTGTTTGATTGTTGGACGGYCAATCGGGCAGCCCTAATYYGGACCATGGGGCGTGCATCGTTGATGTTCCGGGTGAATCTGGGCGAATTTTAGGCGAGAGTGTTAGCCTTAGCAGGACGGGTTTTTGGGGGATTCGAGTGTTATCTCGAAGGTTACTGGCCGCGTTCGGGTCAGGTGCTGGAGAC